TAGGCTTGGGCTTGTGCTTAGGCTTAGACTTAGACTTAGCCTTAGACTTCGACTAAGTCTTAGGTTTAAGTGCGACGACATACTTTCTTCCGGGGGATTACGCCTCGATAGAATTTTCCCCATTTCAGCCATGCGTCTCCTCGGCTTCAAGCATATCTTCGGTAATAAGCGGGATGGATGATGTGAAGATTCCCGTAACGACATCCACCCCATCCTCCAACCCAACCAATACCTCATCCGCCACCGCAGCACGACGATCCCGAATCTCGGATAAGGTATTGATTAGGTACTCGAAAATCGACCCTGTACTTCGTTGCTATTTTTTTGAATTCTGCAAATTGTATTGTTTTGGGGTGGCGGGGTCCCGGGGCGCCTCCCGTGGTTTTTGTGTATGTTTTTCGGGGTCTCCGGTCTCGAAAATGAATCGATTTGAGAGGGGGAGAAGGGGCAGAATGTTTGTCTCGATTCTCCCATCAGCCACCCACGCATTCTCCCATTGCATTAAACAATAAATAAAACAAGGATGTTTGGTGGTGGGAGAGAGAGAGAGACAGGAGAGAGAGAGAGCAGCGAGTGTGAGAGAGGACTCCGCTACTGGCACGCTCCCTTTAGAATTTGAATTCGCGTGCCTGAACGAGATCCAAATCGAGAGAGAAAGCTGGAGACAATGAGAGAGGAAAGAGAGAAAGAGCCAGTGTGAGAAAGAGAGAGAGAGAGAGAGAGAGAGAGGAGAGAGGAGAGAGAGAGGGGGGGGTGGAGAAACTGAGGTTTTCAAGGAATCGACACAGCAGGAACGAAATGTGGATAACCCGGACCCAAAAATCCTTTTTTTGAAGCCTTATTCGAGTATTTATTCTGTATATTTCCAGACTGCCACCTCATCCCTCCCAATCGCAACAGATATCGCCCGAAATCGCGATTTTTACCGAACGAATGATATACGACCGCCCTACACATATGCCTCCCTCATACGGCAGGCCATTATGGAAAGTCCGGAATGCCAGGTTAGCCCATCAGCCACGTATTAATGATAGTGTTCTTTTCAGCTAACCCTCAACGAGATCTACCAATGGTTCCAGGAGACGTTTGCGTATTTCAGGCGGAATGCTGCTACTTGGAAGGTTAGTTTTGGGTTTATGGCTGGCTTCAAGGGAGTCGGAGGTTTATGATTGGGCTTGAGCCTGGGCTCGGGATTAGGCTTAGGCTTAGGCTTAGGCTTAGGCTAACCCCGCCCGCCCTTTAGCCGCCACAAGGTGGTGCTAATCCATTACGCAATGGAAAGGCGAGACCGTGTTTTGCGTGTTTCGGGAGCGGCAAGGTCCACAGGCTCCGTACCGAATAAAACCCACTTTTATTGCTTTTCCTTTCCTGCTCATCCATGCAATCTACCTATTCGAGACCCCACTACCGTATCCTAACTGGAAAATCGTATCTTTCGCCTTGGTCGTCGAATTTTATAGTGACAAGGCGCTGTTTTGGGGGAGGGTTGTTGCTAAAAAATGCCCTTTCTATCGTACGGGGTGGCACACGCCCCCACTACCGATTGCCCTTTGTAGGAGGGAGAGAGAGAGAGCGAGAGAGCGACAGAGAGAGATAGAGAGAACGGGCAGATGAACAGTGTGACCCCCGAGATTCCCATGGACTCTTGTGTGGTTCCTGAAATTTTGGCCGCCTGGGGGTGGGAACAAAATAACAGACAGAAAAAATCATACAGCGTAATCTAAGAGATACTGTATCTTACTGTAACTCTTTCAGAACGCCGTCCGACACAATCTATCCCTTCACAAATGCTTTACGCGGGTCGAGCAGAACGTCAAAGGAGCCGTGTGGACTGTGGATGACTCTGGTGGGTTGTTGAAGCTTTTAACGCGAAAATCAATAGGTTTGGGATTAAATTGGGCTTAGGCTTAGGAGTTTTGGCCTAAGCTTTTTGCTAGGCTCGTCCGGGCTTAGGCTTAGGCCTACGTCACGCTTAGGCTTAGGCTTAGGCTAAGCTTATCTTTCCTAAAGGTCTCTGTCGATGCCCAACCTACACACATCTCGCTTCCCTGTCCCTTTAAAACCCGAAATACCCCCACAAATCCGCTCACCACCCCCCGTCTGCGGGGATCTGGACGGGTATTGGAGTGATAGCATTAGTGCGTGGTAGGGCACTGCATATCAGATTTTAAAATCAGCCATTTTCCTATTAATTAGGTTTTGTAAGACTCTTTGTTAGAATAATTGCATGGGGGGGGTCGCTATTGGGTTGTTTAATTTTTTTTTCTTCTGGGAATTATGCAAGGAGTGTATGGGTCGGAGGGGTTGAAAGTCGGGAGCGCTCCCCTGGTTTTAACTAGTTTTGTTGTTGTGGCGGGGCGAGCATGAGACGTATTTCCTCATAGTTCCCCCACTTTCCCCGCCTTTTCCGCCTGTTCCTCCGGACGACCAGGCGTCGGGGGAAAACAACGGCCCAAAACAACGAATCCCCCATAACCACAACATACAGAAAACAGGTTAGAATAAATACGGCATTTCTAGGGGTAAAAATGTTCGAATAAAGTATTTTACCAAATGTCACGATTTCTTTCTCCATAATTGGCCGGATTCCAGAATTCTACCGTCGTCGCCCTCATCGGGGCTCCGTGACGAGGTCCCAACCCCAGACACCAACCCTATCAATGGCCGACACGCTGCTGAATCAGCGATTCTTGGACCAGACGGCACTTAATTTACGAGGCACTGACGGTCAGTTTTGGCGGGGTGGCGCTTTAGCGAGGTCGGGCAAGGCAAAAATCGACATCCGACCGCGACTAGGTGTCGACAACCCTAGGTCGCCCTAACCAAGCGTATCAGGCCGTTCTGGCTTAGGCTTAGGGTTTAGGCTTAGGCTTAGTTTTTTTTCACCAGGTTACACCTAGTCGATCGTGAAGCTCGAGTTTGTGCTTCCTATCATCTCCTTCTTCCCTCCTCTTAAGAGTCAAGAAAAGAACCATACGATATTAGAAAATTTTCAGGTGCTCTCGTTACGGATGGAGATGCATTAACGAACAACGTGTTATCGTTCTTGAACGGCGAGAACCCACTTTCATTACTTTCCGCAGCCGCAGCAGCCCATTCCATTGATGGGGATGGGAGTGAAGGTGGGGCTCTCTCTCTCTCTCTCTCTCTCTCTCTCGCTCTCTCTCTCTCTCTATCTCTTTCTTATTAGCTCTCCAACCTTCGATTTCTTTTTAGGCCATGGCGAGCTAGCGGAAACGGAAGAACAGACGGAGAACAAATCCCCCGATGCCCAGTTGATCATCGACGAGCCGGCGTCATGAGTAATCTCGTGGATTTGTCTTCTCCCTCCCTTTAACCCCTCTAAAAATACACCCTCTTCCCGAGGCTAGGCATCTTTCCATTGAGCTTATCCTCCCTGAAAATCGCGTGCCCGAATTTCCGGATTCAATCCAAGTTTAATTGGCTCTAATTTCCGCGGTCTTTTTTGGAATTCTTTTGCTTGCTAGTTCACCATACTCATCCTTAATAATTTTCCCTTAATTCTTGTCGAATTTGAGGTTTATCGGCTTTCATATTTTTTGTTTTATTTTGTGAAAATCATCCACCCGACGGGTCTCGCGCGGAACCACGAAAATCCAGCCACAATACCTGGAGAAAGAGTGACCCTATTCCTTCTCATCATCCTGATACCCCCATTCTGAGATATCACACATCATCTACCCATTTTTAAAATATTTTTATACTTTTAAAGTTGTGGATTTTGTATTATTTTGTGGAGAGTTTTTGAGTTGTTCTTTTTGCCGGTGCAATTTGTTTGCGGTAATTATTTTTGTTTTATTGGTTTTTAAGATTATTTCCAACAATTATGTGTCGAAAAGTCGAAATTTAAATAAATTAAATATGAAGAGGGTTAGCGTCGGGGGGGCGGCTTAGGGCTTAGATTTAATCGGATGAATCGATTTTCTTTCCAAATTCACGACTTTTCGGGACAGTCCCACCCTATTCTCTGCTCTCACTACCGTACTTCACACACCCATCATCCACTCCAATCCCCGACCGATCTGTACCCTCTTTTCTCCTTCCCGAACTTTCAAGTCATTTTAAGACACCGAAACCCTTGCTGTACCCTGCGTGACCCATCTACTACCTACCGTACCCTCCTCCCAATCCCGAAATCAATCCCTCATTCCACGGTACACCAATATATTTCGATTTTTAATTTCATTGTTTTTCTGTTGTCTCGACGCGCATTTTGTGGAATAGTTGTATAAAGATTTATTTGGTACCAAGTGACGCAAGTATAACACGAGAGAGGGTGAAAGAGAGCAGGAGAGGGAGAGAGAGAGCGAGACAGAGACAGAGGGAATGAGAAATAGAGAGGGAGAAATAGAGAGTGACAGAGCGAGGGAAGATGAGCAAACACCTAACTTTTGTTTTAGCTTACCTAGCGTTTCTCGGAATGATTCGCTTAGGTATTTTTCGTCGCTCTCGCTCTCTCTCTCTCTATCTCTCGCTCTCCCACTCTCTCACTCGGTTTTTTAAGAACAACTCCCATCGGATTAGCTAGAGATTGCTACCCAGAAAGAAGCCTTTTTGCTAGTATGCGTCCATGGCTCGACTCTAGAATACGGGTTGCCATGGTGCCCCTCAGACATCGAAAGGGAGTTTCAAGCCTTCGGTCCCCGACGGGAGTGAATCTCTGCATCGCCCCTCGAGACTCCCAGTCAACGTTCCTTTTTTCGCTTTAATCACTGCGCTTTCAGTTCCAAAATGGGCGATTCGGGTGGAGAAGCCGCAACTACAACCCCTCCAGAACCAGAGAAGCCGCGTCAGGTGCCCGACGACTTTGAGAAGCGATTGGCAGCCGATGAGCCGGAAAATGATGACGATGAGCCGGAGACGGTTGACAAGACGTTTAAAGTAGGCAATTTGAGCCTAAATCGAGTGTTCCGGTTTGCAGATTGTAGTCTGCGGCGATGGATCGTCAGGAAAGACATCGATCTGCTCCCGATTTGCGCATGATCATTTCGATAAAAACTATCATCAGGTACTTCTGGATTTTTGTGAATTAGGCTTATGCTTAGTCTTCTTGTTAGTTTTGGCTTATTTTTAGAGTTAAACCAAGGCTCAAGCTTCGCTTAAGTTGTGTTTTGGCTTTGGGGCATAAACTAGACCTAGACTTGGACTTTTTCTTGACTTGGGCTTAGGCTCAGGTTTAGGTTAGGCCAAACATGCAATTCGGCTTAACTTTGGCTTGGTAGGCCTAGGTACACTGCGGCTTAAGCTTATGCTTTTTGGCTTGGTTTGGGCTTAGCTTTTGGTTGAATACCCAAATTTTACAATTCTCCAGACACTCGGTCTCGACTTTTTCTCGCGTCGGCTGACCCTGCCCGGCGACGTTCAAGTCCTCCTCCAGGTTGGAAATTTTCAAGGGGCGCTAAAGCGAAATCCCCCTAGGTTTGGGACATTGGCGGGCAGTCGATAGCGGGGAAATGCTCGAGAAGTACGTTTACGGAGCTCACGCTGCATTGATCGTCTATGATGTCACGAATTCGGGTACGTTAGGATACGGTATATATGGTGATGGCAGAAGCATCATATCGATTGTACGTTAACTTTTTGCAGCCTCGTTCGAAGACGTGAGCGACTGGGTGTCCGCTGTCAAGCGCATTTCGAAAAACCAGGAAAAGGTTTGTAGCCCGTAGCTTAGGCTTAGGCTTAGGCTTAGGCTTAGGCTTAGGCTTAGGCTTAGGCTTAGGCTTAGGCTTAGGCCAGGTTGGGCTTGGTTTCGGCCTAGACTTGGCGGCTAGGCGGCTAGGCTGGCTAGGCAGGCTTAGGCTTAGGCTTAGGCTTGGCTTAGGCTTGGCTAGGCTTAGGCTGGTTTAGGCCCAGACTTAGGCTTAGGCTTAGGCTTGGCTTAGGCTTGGCTAAGGCTAAGGCTTAGGCTTAGGCTTAGGATTGACATTAGATTTCGATGGTCAAAAAAAAAGTAAAAAATCACGAATTAGGGCATTTTCTAGCCGCCACGCCTCGGGCTGGTGGGCAACAAGACGGACCTCGAACATCGGCGCGTCATTCGCATCGACAAACACAATAAGTAAGACTTAGGAGTATATATTAAGCAAGAAGGGGTACTGCAACGTACTGGGTACCGTCCGCTACCGTATCCCCGGCTTCAGATTCGCCGACGAGCACGGCATGGCCAGTTTCTATGCGTCGGCAAAAACTGGGGACAGTGTCACGCTTATGTTCAGGTGGAATTTCGATTAAAATTGTCGATTGAAAATCAAAAAAATCCTGATAATCCACCTACCTAACCCCTAAAAATTCTGACAAATTCTTTGCGGAACGGCTCGTCGTATTTTCCGGCAGCGTATTTGTGGGCGTGTGGGTGTTTTTGCGGTCCGTTCGCCCTGGCGGCTGTTTTCGGAAGCGCCTTCTACCTCCAGCGCAGACACAACAAACAAATAGCATATAGGAATCAAGCGGAATTTCTTGGGGGGTTTTGGGGGGATATATCGGCGGGTGTGGATTTAAAGGGACTGACAAGGGACGCTAACGATTTTGCCGGTTGTGGCGAGCTAGCGAGCCGCCGCCCCATCTGCATGTCGGGGTTTTCGTTCTCGGGGTTTTGGCTGGACCATACCATTTAAAAAAACCTATTCGGTCGAAAAACGAAAATGACAAGGTACTGTGTTTTTTTAAGGAGACGGTCTATGCAAAACACAAAAAGTTCCCTTAACCCTTATGGTTTATGGATCGAGGTTTTGCAAATTGTGCAGCTTGCTGAGGGGTTCAACTGCGAAAAAGCGGTCATAGGCCGGTCGAACGGCAGCAAAGGGCAGTTAGTCGCCGAAATCAACATCGGGGAGCTATCCACGGGTAAACAAGTGACAACTGCTTGCACAACCAGGGGTACGGTAGATCAATCAGACTGTCTGGCAGGGGATAGAGTCTAGTCCATTTTATCGTTTAGCGCTGGAGGTTGAGGTTTGGTTGAGGCGCCTACCAGGTTTGGGCTTGGCTTGGCTTAGGCTTAGGCTTAGGCTTCGGCTTAGGCTTAGTCTTAGGCTTAGGCTAGGTTAGGGTACGCATAGGAAGCTCATCGTAATAGCTACAGTACTCACAACGCGACACCCCCCCCCCCCCAAAATTTCGTGTGGCCGAGGCAAGTCAGACATGACACTCAATGAGAGGAGAGAGAGAGAGAGAGAGAGCGAGCGAGCGAGATAGATGGAAAGAGACAGTAGATCCGAGAGACGCAGAGGAGATGCACTTTCGGGGCTGGCTGAAGGGCTGAACCCGATGATTCTGCTTACCAACACGGCGCCGCCACCCCGTACACAACCCGACGGATCCGGGGGGCCGGCTGGAAATGTTCTGCCTTTTCCCAGATTTTTGCTAAAAATTTGAAACTATGCGTGTTAATGAAGATCAGCCAGCCACGGTGCTAGCCGCAGTTTTTTGGAGAATTGAAAAAAACGGGAATATTAATTTTTATCATACTCTTCCATGGGCCCAAAAATGTCACTCTCAATTACCGTACCCTCCTCCCATTTATTGTGGTCATTTTAATGCGAATGTAGAGCGCCACGAAATACCATAGAATATGTGGAGGGGCGAGAGGGGTCCCGGCACGAAAACACGTTGTTTTGGCGGAATGGCCAGTAGAGGGGGGCAGGACTCGCAAATAGGCCGAGACCTAGCAACAACAAACACCAAATAACACTAGAAAGACTGGCAAAACTCTCGAGTATTAGCATGATGATATCACTGATACGAGGAGTACAAAGCTTTTCAACAAAAAGTAAAAACTGGCACTTGGACGGGGGAGTCAAACCAGTGTATTGTGCCTGGGATATCTGAAAGTTATAATCCTCAAATGACAAAACACCGACAGCCTAAATCCGAACCAGCAAAATGGCTGCTGAATTCCGGTTTTCGAATTATTACCTTGCGTCGTGTCGGTATTTTGGCGTTCGAGATTTTCGCTTTCTGTATTTTTGCCGGTCAAAAATTTTGTCGGGATTTTGGCTGGAAGCGCTGGTAAAGCAAGCGTTCTACCATTCAGCTATTTTCAGACAAACCGCTGCCGACCTCGTTGGCGTGGCACTCTCAAAAACGGATGTCGAAAGCGATATCGTCATTGTCGAAGGGGAGGTCAGTGCCCTGGCTCAGCTAGCAGAGACCCCTTGGGAACCCCCGGTATGATTTCTCCCACTTTCAGATCATCCGCGAGGACCCCGGAGTCCGGAAGCGCCCCATCGACAATTCTCGAAACACGGCAGTCTGTTCTATTCAATGAGGCTGTTTATTGTGCAAACCGTTATTGTCAGATATCCCATGTTCTATCTGAGTATTGTGATCAAAAATTCTATCTGTTAAAGAATAAAGCTGTCATTGTCATTAAATGCGCCAAACCGGAAGTGTCAATCAAAGTAAAAAGCTCGTCAGATTTATTCCAAGGGTCTGCAAGGTGGAAAATGAGAAAAAGGGAGATTAAATGGGGACCCGGTCAACGGTATTTATGCACAGGGGGGAACGGTGGCTCGGCTTATTTATTCTCCGTCCAGGATTCGTCATCAACCTGAAAATGAGGAAATTAGGGGAATTCCATAAGTGCATAAATGCTTGCAAAAGATTCTCAAAACCTTGCGCCATTGTTGACTTAAGAACAAGCTGATACTCATCAAATTCGACAATGGACTTTCTGAACTAACCTCCTCCAGATCCTCGGCCTCCTCATCCTCAACTTCATCATCAACTTCAACCGTCTCAGGGACAAGATAGTATTGCAGAGGGTTCGGCCAAATATCGTCCTTGATCACCTCGGCAATATCATCGGCCGCCGGCTCGAGGTTCGTGTCCAACCACGCGAAGAATGTGAATGGGGCATTGCGATCCGAACTCTACAAAAAAACACCATTTACCGCTAAATAGCACGTCTCTGTCAATTTTTTGTCCAATCTCACCTTTCCAAGCTTCTTCCCCTCCTTCCAGCGGATCTGGGTGATCTTGCAACCCGGCTCGTCTCCACCCAAGAAATATTCACGGGTCATCGAGTCATTTTCGAAATATTCATTCTCCTTCCACCGGAAAGTGATTTTGTAGCCGCTTTTGATGTCGTCGGCCTCGTCAATCTAAGCAAGGTGGTTTCATAGGCTTAGGCTTTGGCTTCGGCTTACAAGGGAACCTCACGGAGACATGGTGGAATTTCGAAAAACGCTCGCGGCTACCCCCGGGTAATCGGCCATTGCGATCACGATGCGCTTGTCAGATTTTTCTAAATAGACCTGTGGACAGAGATACAGCACTTCCGGAAAATGCTGATTTACATGCAAAAAATTTGCATAGAAGGATGGTTTATGAGGCTCTCCCATCACTATGGAATCACCGGTTGAATGGCCGAGTGGTAAGCGACTCGCTGGATAGGATTCTAACAAGGGTTCGAATCCGCTCACGATTTTTTGTTTTTGCTTTTTGCCAGATTTTTGTACAAGTCCAAAATCATACTTGAAGTACTTCTAAATTTTATGATAGTTGTCGACATTACGTGGTCAGAAAATTATTCTTGTAAAATTTTTTCATTTTTTGCAGATGGTCAGGTGTAGGAACTCTAGCCGGCAGAACTGATTTTCATTTTTCGATTTTTTTTCGCCTTTGATGGCTAAACATTAGGGATTTCGGGCTATTACTAGTAACATTCTGGACTTGTACAAAAATCTGGCAAAAAGCAAAACCAAAAAATCGTGAGCGGATTCGAACCCTTGTTAGAATCCTATCCAGCGAGTCGCTTACGACTCGGCCATTCAACTGGTGATTCCATAGTGATGGGAGAGCCTCATAAACCATCCTTCTATGCAAATTTTTTGCATGTAAATCAGCATTTTCCGGAAGTGCTGTATCTCGGTCAACAGGTCTATTTAGAAAAATCTGACAAGCGCATCGTGATCGCAATGGCCGATTACCCGGGGGTAGCCGCGAGCGTTTTTCGAAATTCCACCATGTCTCCGTGAGGTTCCCTTGTTAGCCTTAAGTTTACGATTAGGTTTGGGCTTGGTCCGGCTTAGGCTTACGTTTGGGTTTAGCCGTAAGCTTAGGTTTTAGGCCTAGGTTTAGGCTTAGGCTTGTTGTGAAGTCCTACCAACCTCAATAGCAGCTAGAGACATCAGTGCATCTTCCTCGTCCTCGGCGACCAGGGCAGCGATTTGGGGATGGTTGAGGAGCTAAACCACGATCCGTTTTTATGGAATTTGTTTTTATCTATCAGTTTTATATGTCCAATTATTAGAATAAATAATTTTTGATTTGGTTCTTTAGGATTCCCGGGGGGGGAAAGTATTCCCGGGGGGGGAAAACAAATTTTTTTCGGCGAAAGCCTAGATTTTTGTATAAATTGCGGATGCGTTTCTAAATTGTTTTTAACTATCCCTGTGCATAAAAACTACACACATTTTAACCAAAAAAAATGTAAAAAATTAAAAATTAGGTCGAAAAATAGACCCAAAATGACCAAATTTTCGACTTTTTCAAACATTTTTCTAAATTTTTCTGAAAGTTATTCTGCTTTAAATATAGTTAAAACTTACTAAAAACAATTCGAAAACACTTTATATTTGATTACTAGGTCAACCGGGACCACCAGGAAAAAAATTGGTTTCCCCCCCCGGGAATACTTTCCCCCCCCGGGAATCCTAAAGAACCTTTGATTTTGATCAATCAATTACAAACATTTGATCATTTGTTGAAAACTCACCGCCATCGGCCAGAATTGGGGGAATTCCTTGAGGAGCTTTGTCCTCTTTTCCATATGGGGCCGGCGGAGCTGATTGTATTTTTGCTCGATCTGAAATTGTACTTAAGGGCGTTAGAACCGATTAGCATACCTTGATGACTTCCTCGGACGCCTGCTCATTGAGGTTGTCGACGTGGCTCTGGATCTCGTCGATCTGCTTGATCATGCGTCGCTTCTCCTCGGGAGCCTGGTTCAGCAGGTAGTCGACTTCGAGACGGGCACGCTTCTCCTCCGGCTCGCCCATTCTGACGAGGTTCCCTAAGGGTATAAATTATTTTAATAGGATTTTTGGTCAAAGGAACAAATCCATGAAGCCAAAAATTACTGGAACTTTTTGAGATAGGGATGAAAAACGTTTTTTTTGTCATTTTCATTTACCTGTTAAATTTTTCGCAACCAATCAAGTGCAATACTCAACTCCCAAGCTAAGCTAATACGTCGAATATCAACGAAACTAAGCTTAAGTTAAGCTGACGAAGCCAAGAGCCGTGGAACTCTGAGAAACCTAAGCTAAGCCGGCGTTAACTTAAGTCAGGGCCGAGCTACTGAGTCCACGCTAATCCAGTCTTAAACTAACCCTAAGCCCAAGGAACGCTAATACCAAGCCAAACTAACAAGAAGCGTAAGCCCATAAAAAATTAGAAGAATGCCCGAAAATTTCCCAAAAAAATTTGCACTACCTCAACTTGAATATTATCAGTTATTGTATTAGATTCTGGTTTTACTAAGGAACAGATTGAAGAAAGCTATTGGCAAGGTTCGGACTATCTACCTAAAAAAACTGAGGGGCAAGGTCAGCTAAAAATACAGCTGTAAGGTCGGGGAAGGCTAAGATTTATATATTCGGGAATGAACCTCTAACAGTCAAGTCAAATTCGGGGCAAATTTACCGCAAAACGCATTGGTGTGGCAATGTTGCCGCTGCATGACCTAGCGGGTAATGCGGGGCGGTCGCGTCACGCGTGGCCTTGGCAGCGGGCCAGGGACGTCACCTCTTGGCTCGGGCGCCCCTCTTTCCCTCTGCACTCTCCCTTCACTTGATCTTTCCCAGGGTACTCCGTGTCGAAATGACTCGTCCCTCGCTCAATCCCTCAAATTGATCGTTTTTTGCCTCGAATCCCATATTTGCCGATTCTCGCACTAACGTCATCTGAATCTTATTGGTCCGCACTAATGCGAAGCCAATTTTTTGCATTTATTAATTAGCTCTTATGCAAGGAAAAGCCTTTGGAAGCTCGATCTTTTAGAAAGATTATGAAACTTTTTCGCAATATTGTTAACAAGATTAGCATTAGAAATTGAATGACGCATAGCAAAGCTACACGTAACTAAACCTGCGTATGGGGTGTAGAATAATTAATTCAGAATTTCTAAACGCTTTAGAAAATTATTTACCGGTGCTAGATCTCACAATCGTTTCTACGCGATTATGGGATTTATTTACAGAGTTTTGTATATGCCTATATGCGAAATTTCGAAACCCACTGTTTTTCATTGACACGAATTTTCCAAAGCTGGAACACAGCGTAAACAACTATAATAATACCCAATTTACGGACAAGTTTGCTCAATAACCCGATTTTTTCCACGTTTTGACCTTCCCCAAATTTTTATCAACACGAAATTACAGCCGATGCTCGTAAAAAGATGAATGGTGCAACAAAAACAACCGACGCTCGTCGTCACGTCGGTCTGGCCGATAGCCGGCAGGCAGGATACGCGAAGCGCCGACGCAGCCCGTCCACCGGCTCCTCGTCGGATAGTCCGCGCAGTGACGAGAAACGCTCGAAAAAGGGCAGAAGATCCCGGTCGTCAAGCCGAACGAGGGCGAATGGGCACGGTAGGGCGAAACCGGGCGTTTCCGGGTATCTGATCCCTCCTCCGCCTCCACCGTTGTTGTCCGAACCGGCGGATAGCGATAGGATGGACATTGGGAGCCCGCAGAGTGATGACACGCCCAAGAGGTACGTTTTTGAAAAATTAGGATCAAGGAAGTTAAAAATTGGGTATTCGGGGATCAAGCCCATGGGTCAAAAACTAAGGAAAACACGGGATGTAAACGTAGAGCGTTTTTAATATAGAAACATTTTAATAGATGCGCAATTATCGCAAAATGTTTAGAAGAGGCCCCCGTACACCACCGCTTCCCCCGGCCGACCCTGGGCCCCGGATAGAAATCGTCCCGACGGTGAACCTGTGCAACCTCGCCCCGGCCGGCTATGGGATGCCCTCCTTCAAGCGGCACCCAGCCTCCACGGGAATGCACATGCAATATGGACAAGTCGCCTATGGGTTTGTTTTTCGCTGACTAGTAGGTTGATGGTGCCAACTTGATCGTTGTAACGTGCCTTTATGCATTGGCCAATTTTAGTTTGCAACAAAACGGCGTCGCTTTACAACCGCCACCTCCCCCTCCACCAATGGTACGAACACGACCGTTTGATGGGCATGAAATGATGGTTCGTTTTTTTGGGGATAAATCTAGAGTTTCAAACGATCATTGCACAATCTTAAGCTATCATATCTTTTAATAACAACCCTATTCCAGAGTCCGAGCATAGAGTCGTCCACCTCCAGCCCGGCCGGCCGGTCCCCGTTTTCTTGTGAAGGCTCCCGTCGGCCAAGAACCCCTCCTCTTCCATCGCCGCAAGAAGTAGGCGCTAGAATTGGGGGGATTTTTGCGTTGTTTGGGAACATTCGGAAAATTCCGTTTCCAGAAACCTCCCGGAACCCCGACAAATGCCCCGACAAAGAGCCTGGCGTTTGACCCGATTTTGATGGACCTGCTGCATAGCAAGAAGCCTGCTGGCCCGCCAGGCGGTATGAAGAAGGCTCGGTTAGTTATTTCACTGGAGCAGGAATTAGCAACCGATTGTACCGTAATTTAAGCCATGTGTTTTTTTTTTCAGCGTTGACGCGAATGGATCGGCTCTGCTGTCCCCGCGGGGTACCGGCGAAGCGCCAGTTGCCCGGGATACCGCCAATGGCCACCGAACGGCCGAGGACGGGAAAATTGCTGAAATGTAAGTACCGGCAAGATCGTTGGGGTGAAAAAGGGGGGACTAGCTAAATCGATAAGGTAAAATGTTAATATACCACACATCCAACAACTGTAATTTTGTCGTGGCATCATTTAGCCATCATGAAAAAAGATTTTGCGCGTTTGGGGACATAATGGCGAGGTGACACGCGAGTCGTACAATTCCAAGCTTGCGCTGTTGAAGCAGCTGTTAACTTGAGATTTAGAACACGAGAAGCCGAACCACGCCCGTTGACAGCCGAAGAGCTGAGGAGAAGGGAGGAACGACGACGGCTGAAGGAGGAACGAGAACAGAGGGAAAGAAGAAAGATGCTCGACCGCCAGCGGGAAATAGACAAACGGACCAGAATGGAAGACCGAGATCACAAGAAGCGGCCAGATGACGCTAGCCGGCAGAAACAAAAGCATCGACCAAAGGTGGGGCTCGTTTTTAATGAATTACTTCAAGAAGGTTGTAGGAATCCAAACTAAAAAATTTGATGATTTATTAAAAACTTTTGTCTAGGAAGATGAAAAAGCCAGCAAGAAAGATGAAAAAGAAGAACGGCATAAGCATCGAGAAAAGGTACCGAAAAACGAAAAATCATCTACCGAGAAGCCCAAAGAGGTGGGTCAATCTATATTTTTAAAACTTCTAAAAAATCAAAACTTTTCAAAAACCTCCAGGATCTTGTTTTTCGTTCATTACAAATTCCTCTCTAGATCGAGCACAAATCCAAACCCGAAAAGCCACGTGATGAAAAAGAAGAGAAGAGACTGAAAAAGGAGAGGGAAAGGGAAAAGAAGCTTGAGCAAAAAGCTCTGCTCTCCCCGACACTCCCAACGACGACACATCATCTGAACGGCCAAGGCGAACTGAAGATCGAGATTCCGGAGATCAAGACGGAAATCAAGGTCGAGGTGCAGGAAAAGCTGGTCGAGATTGTGTCGGAGAAGATTGTCGAGACAAAGTCAATCAAGCAAGAAAATGGATGCGTGTCCGAAGAAGAAGTGAAGCCGGAGGTTGCGAAAGTGACCGAGAAGAAGAAATCCAGACAAGTAGGCTTACGACACTAGTTGTAGTTATTATTTTTTAGGAGAATGGTGTCAGCTTGGAAGAACCGACTGTTTCTATGGCCCCAGAAACATCAAGGAAAAATGGAGAGGTGCAGGAGCCGGCAGAACAGCATCCGCTGCTTTCCCCAAAACCGGGAGATGGCAAGCAGAAGAAAGCCGATAAATTGCCGAAAGTATCGAGCCGGGTGCGTTTTAAAGCGAATAACGAGCTAGTAAGACATTTTTTGTTCAATTTAAATTATTATTTCCATTTTCAGTTCAAAAAATTCATGCTGATCGAGACGCACCCCAACGGCGGGGCCTCGATGCTGAAGGCGAACTGGAAGGACGTTTGCAGGCATTTCGCGGAACGGGAGGAGAGGTTGGCAATGAATCAAATAATTTGGGACGTTTGGTTTTGGGGAGGAATTCGCCCGGCAATTCATCCAGCTCGGCCTTTCCGAGCAAAACGAAATCCCGGTGTTCTGCGTGTGCGTCATCGAGAATGGGGCTAATTATCTGCAGGTTGGTTTCCGGGCTTCAGGATAGGAAGATAGGACCTTCCGCTGAAATTACTTCGTTTTTATCTTAATCCGAGGCAAAGCTTGGCTTACTTCAAAATCTTGATTTAAATTAACCTCATTTACTCTGGGAGGCCAAAAAAAATGTGTAAAATGTCAAAAAAAAATTCCGTTTCGAACGATTTTAAGTTAAAGGGCACGGATACCCCGTCATCTACACTAGACCCCTTTCCGTATTCTAATCAATCTTACATTTTCCATTCTTAGGACGTATTCGGCTACCTGGCAAACCACTACTCCAATCTGCCGTGCAAAGTCGGCTCGTTGACGAATAAACAGTCGGTGGAGACGATGAGCCTCCAGGCCTACCACAATCTCGTCATGGAGACGTGTCATCACGGCACCTTCCGGTATTTTACACAATAAGTCATTTATCGTATTTTACAGAGCCGGCCCTCTGAACGCGTTGTCGATGGTGGGCCCGAAGCAGGAGGAGTGTGGTGCTTTCTTCGGCGAACTGCTCGATCAGCTTTCGCGGTCGCCGTTCCTGGGCCCGTTGATGCCATGGGGATCGAAGAGCATCGCCGAGCATGAAGATCCAGCTGAAAGTGATGATGGGCCAATTTTCTGGATTCGACCAGGCGAGCAGGTTCGTCTCGGAACACTACAAGGTGTCACCAAAAAAGTACCGGCCTGGAAAATTGTCCGGTTCTAACGATTGAGCTCAAAATGGCGAGCAAAAAACGCTTTTGGATAATTAAATTAAGCATTTAATCGTTACACTTCCAGCTGATCCGTACCGATGATCTGAAGGACGAAAAGGGCGGGAGGAAAGGCCGCGGCTCAAGGAATCCACAATCATTCAGGTAATGGGCGTTTTTGATCTTTGCTCGTTTCGGTCAGCGTCTATCCATCAATTCCGTCAATGAAAATTCAATGAATCGAAAACATTGCAGAAACCTGGAGCGCCGTGAGCTACTCTTCGAAGACCGCACGCCATGCCACGCCGACCATGTTGGCGACGGGCTGGAGAGGCGAACAACGGCCGCCGTCGGCATTCTACAAGCCATCACGGGCCAACACGAAAGGTAGAAGATAACTGAGAACAGCTTCAGCTTACGAACCTGTTTCAGGACCCGCGAAAACCGCGCCGTCAAAGACGTCGTGTGCTTCCACGCGGCAGATTTCGACAATATCGTCGAGCGTCTGCAGCTCGACCTCTACGAGCCGCCAATGTCGCAATGTATCCAATGGGTCGAAGAAGCCAAGCTCAACCAGCTCCGCCGCGACGGGATTCGCTACAGCAAATTCCAGGTGTGTTTCCCCTTTTTTCTATTAATTCTATTCTTCGTTATAGTTGCACCATAATGACATCTACTTTTTGCCGCGGATGATCGTCCATCAGTTCCGGACAATATCCGCGTGCTCGTCGATTGCCTGGCATGTTAGGTATGTTATTTTAAGTGGCGTTTTTCGCGTTTACCATGCTGAATTTATTTAAATCGTTTGCAGACTAAAGCAGTACTATGATGCCCCGGAGCCAAGCGGCGTCGCCCGGCATCATCAGAAGGATTAGCGTTTATGGCAAACATTGTTTCCCCTAGGATAGCCACTGAAGTCAGTCGAGCACTTTCTAGTCAGGCTTTTCCCGCTCTGTCCCCCAAAATTGTTGATGTTGTATGTGTGTCCCGGATCAACACCAAAGCCGTGTCCCCAATCACTCAGGTAGTACCTCATCCTCCCCCGAATTCTCCTCCCAAACCCGCAACTGATGCCATTGTGATAAATTTCTGTCTTCAATTTCGGATTCCGAGAGACCATTTTCGATTGTGTTAGGCTCTTTTGAAGTACGGTGGCCGCCGTGTAACCAAAACTGCATCGTTGACTATCTGGGATGAAGGCCAAGAAGTTACAAAGTCACCTGATACTCTAATCCTATTTTTAACCCCTCTTTCATTGTTAGTCTGTTTGTAAAGCTGGCTAGACTTTAATTTACCCCCCCCCCCCCAGAACCGGAAGTTCCAAAAAATTTTCGGCATTTCCGCTATTTTGTCGGGTTTTTGGCTACGCCCTACGATAGAGCATCAAAAAATACAGTAAGAGTTTTAATCACAGCCCCAAATAATATAAAAGAAAAAAGTTATAGCGCAAAAACTTTTGGGAACTTCCGGCTGCGAGGAGGGTAAAGTAAAGTCTTACCGTGAAGCTCGAGCTAGTGCACTGAAAATTCTGAGTTCCAGCTCACCCAGCTCGCGCTTCACAAATTGCCCTGCTTCCTCGCTCTCAAAAATACCTAAGAAACACCCAAACCCTCAATCATCTACCAACGATCTCCCACCGGACGTTGGCGGGCGCTAGAGCGCAAAAAAAGCAAAGGGATTGAATTTTCTCCTGAATGCTCTGCTCTTCGCTCGCCCCGTCGCTATCTGTTAAACAAAAAAGCACCTCAAACTGCCATCATCATCATCATCTCCCCATCCCTCCCACCCAGCGTTGTACCCTAATAACAAAGCAAGCGAAACATTCAGGTCCCACCCCATTGGCCATCCCGGTTATATTCATCATCCTCCAACAAAACGAAATTATTGTTTTTATATAATTTGCATCCATCAATCCATTTAACGAAATCCCCGATCCTTTCAGCCACCCGAGCCTTTCTCTGGTCTCACCCTTTCTGTTTTTTTTGTATTTTTGATGTCTCACCGTTTATCCATTCGACGTTCGATTCTCAGAGTTCTAATCAGCATTTTTGTGGTTTTTCGAATGTGTTGTCGTTTTTAATGCAATTCCGTTGTTAAGATAAAGAGAAAGTATAACTTTTTTCAAGTCTTTCCCCGAAACACGATAGTTTAAATAATTTTTAGGGCTCCGAATTGCTCCTAAAAACTTGGGTGCTGGGCTGTTAGCGGGTAGAAGAGATCTAGCAAAATACCTCTCTAGTAAAATTGTTGGCTTTTTACGGTGTATTTCATACTTTTTGATAACTAACAAAAATCATAAAAACATTTTGAAAATTGGCATTATTGCATAAAATCAAAAAAACTTGCGAGAAGTTCAATATAATCGTAGAGGAATTAAAAATCTGTATAACTCTTTATTAATAACGAGTAAAAACGTTTTAATAAGGTTTTTAAAAAGTAAGCTACAACATTAGCAATAATTTTTACAATTTTAGTGTTATCGTGTATCAATTTTATTTATTTAATAAGGCGTAAGAAGTAATGGTTTTAGAAGTAAAGATTTTAGAAGTAATGAATATACCACGTACCCCCATCCCTACCCCCTATAAGCGTCTAGTAAATTGCACCAGATCAGGTAGTAGGTCGGTTATTCCAGAATTTACGGATTACGGTAGCTACAGCGCCCCTTACAATACACAGTAGTCCACGATACAACCCTAACCATCGTTGTGACCGTTTTTTTCACCCCTCTAGCCGCCGGGCAGTAGTGACAAAATATACGCGCGAGTTAGACGGTGAAGACAAGAAGTGTGCCACAGCGCCCACTCGCCCATTTCTTTTGACGCCACCATTCCCATGAGATAGCCGACGGCGCGGCGAGATGCATGAATAACTTTCCGCCCCTCATCCACCGCCCACCCCATTGTACCCCCCAGGGCACATTGTCTGCCGGCTACGGTACTTAAGGCACGAGACAACGGACCACCCTCCCTTGTCACTGTCACTTCTAACACACACCTCCTGCTCACCACACATTGAGGAGGATGATGGCCTCTACGATGGGCCCGGCCACGGCTCTGCTACTGTGCTGTCTCTCCGCCACGCCTGCTTTTGCCCAGGCCATCACCCCGACACCGCTGCAGGACATTACGCCGGTCCCGATGGACAAGTTCAACCCAAGGCTTACAGGTCTGTGTGGTTGGAGGTTTAGCATGAGCCGTTTTTTGGTGAAAATCTACTTTCCATTCGGAATTAAGTCTATCTTGCGCGGAATTTGGCGCTGATTTCGGACCTGTTTTCGGAAGTTCAGAAACGCCAGATTACAGAGGTCTGAAACAACTGCATGCTAAAAATACCAAAAATCGCCCAATTTTCAGAGATTTTTAACCCTTTTCGCACCGGAAACCTCGTAAGTTCTTGGATCGGGTAGTTTCGATAATTTTGAAAGCGGATTCGGAATCAGCATAAAATTCCCCACTAGCTAGGATTCGTGCCGCGCGGACTCCCACTTGTCACTAAAAATGTCCCCCTTGTTAAAATTGTATTCTAGTCGACGCGTAGCTCTTCTTTTATCTGTCCAACCGCCATCATTCCGGGATAGCCCTTTCAGAGTTCCGCCGTATCGATGGGAACAGCGACGAGAAGCTGACGTTCACTGAATTCCTGCTCTCCGACAAGGACTATATCGAGGCGAAAAGCCGCGAGTTCCACGCCTACGACAAGAACAGTGGGTTCCCCGACTTCAGACACTAAACAAAACTGGTAAAATGCTTCGTAAACAATACTGACCCAGGTTTTTCAGAGGACGGTCAAGTGACGCGCGCCGAGTACGAGGCCTACTACGAACGGGACGGACATCGCCACGGGCCCGAAGGGATGGACCACGATTTCTTCGGGGGCCTCGTGGGTCCTTCTTCCCATCATTCCCATTTCCCATTTGGTCCCTCGTTCGGGGAAGCCGCGAGGACTCCAACGAGTCATCCCCCTCTTTTGAGCACCGCATGTACGACCCGCAGCCGTCGCTCTTCTTCCTATTCTAAGGGCCTTTAAAGGGACTGGGAACTTGCGCGCTTGTCCCCTTGAGTAAAACGGCACTGGACTGTTAGCGGGAGAGAGAAAAGATATAGCCTATGTCTACCTAGCAAAATGCTAGAGCTTTATAGTGTACTTTTTAATATTGATTTTGGTAGTTTTTAATTTATCAAAGCCAGAAAAAACCATTTATTGATATTTTAAAATTCAAAATTGGCCATTCGCATACATTTTTGACCAAAACCAAACATTCTTCGAAATATTAATAATTTTCATAAATATGTATTTCAAAATAGCGCAAAGTTACATCACTGTGTGAATTTTATTATCAGACTCCTCGGGGCGACAGGTCAAAGCTAGGTTTCCACTCCGCTGAAATTCCTTCCCCCCACCCCCCGAAAAGAGTCCAGTACCGAAAAAAAGCAAATTTAGCAATGTCTGGCTATTTACCAAAATTCCAAAGAATATTCCCGGTCCCTTTAACACGCTCCTCTGAAAAGCCATCGCATTTTTCTACCCTCTTGCTCAAAAACGCGGCCTCCCAGCAATCGCCCCGCTCAACCATTCCATCACAGCCTCCAAAGAACCCCAAACTTTTCCAAAGATTCCAACATTTGTTACATCGGCCAGGCCACGCACCGGAAACGCCGCTAAATGCGTAGGCTTTCTGACCTGTTCGGCGTTGACTAATTGTGTCGATGTCCAGTTGGATTCTCCGTGATGCTAATAAAATATTCGATCGACAATTTGGATAGTTGGCATGGCATTACACGGGGAATCCAACTGAACACAAAAGCTGGTCGGGGAGAAATGATAAAACTACAGACTAAGCGTTACTGGACCCTTGAAAAACCCAGCTTTCACTCTTAAACCCATACACCATCTAGAAACGGTCATTTTCTAGGATGACCACCCGCCATTCCGGCACTTCTTCGGCTCACCTATGCGTCACTCCCACGAGACGCCCAGCAGCCAAAGCTCTCCCGAAAAGCGCTCATCATCCCCAGGGCATGGAGATGGTGCTCCCTTCTACCGTAGACTCGGCGGACTTGGTGGCAAAACGCAGCGCCCATCCTCCGAGAAATTCCAACCGGATGTCCCGAAATATCTGTTGTGGTAGCTAGTGTTTTGTCCCTTCATCTGTTAGGCCGGTTAGTACGAGAAATCGAAGTCAAACACCTATTTACAGTAATACTAAACATATTTTACACTATCCCCTCTATAAACAAAAGGAAATTCGTAATTTACTTTCGGTGGCTTCAATAATTCGTGCAGAATCAAAACATACACCCCGGAAAAAAAGTAATCGTTGATGTGGCTGTACAAATCTGCTCATCGTCCCGCTTCATACAAAGTTTATTCCGAACCAAAAGAATATACAGTGTTGATAAAAATATTTTCGTTGTAATGGATCGATCGATAAGCACATTTCTTGCTCCATCTGCTAGCTGGCCAGATCGAGAATCAGGGCCACCACAAAGAGCAGGGTGAACACCTAAACGAGGGGGGTTGTCAATTCTAGGCAGCCAGAGACCGACCTGAATGACCATCTGAGATATTTTGATCATCTCCAACTCGAACTGGGTCTTCCTGATGTTGAGATGATAGAATGCGACGAGCTCGCCATTCCCATCCACGCAACTAGAATGCGTATTTCTTTTTGAGTCAGCCCAGATACATATATTCATCCTCATCCTCGTACAGCACCTCCTTGAATACCAGATTGAAGTCACCGTCGATAAAAATCCTTAAAAAAACAGGGTTAACGGCATCGCGCCCGGAATTCTCTACCTATCATTTTTCTTCTGCGGTAGTACTCTAGCGGTCAACGGGCCACTGTAGTTGCCAGCCCAGTAGTATCCCTAAAAAAGGTATGGGCACCTCGTCAAAAAACCCCTACCATGAGGTCATTGTCAAATTTGCACGGAAGCACCAATTGATCTCCGTTGAAGGGCTAAACCTTGTTGAAAAAAAAAGTTGCTGGTGGTTTTACCTCAACAATTTCCCTGACAACTTGGCGGTGGAGGCGTGGCAAAAGCTCGCCGAAAATAAATTCGCCACCGGGGATTCTTTCTGAAACGGATTTTTAATAAATTGGTGTCAAAAAAGACCAACCAACATACGACGCTTTCCCAAATTGATCTCTCGATCGGAAAACACGAGTGGCGTGCTCCTTCGAATCACAATGTATCTACACACACAAACTGCTCAAAGTTATTGGAATCGCCTCACATGACAGCTGCGAAATTGGTAGAGGATCGGGTGACGGCCGATTTCTTTGCGATGCCTGAGCACAAATAGGCCGTAACTAAACGAACTACCTGAGCGGCACCAGACTCGAAGCGCATGGAACGGAATTGAAGAGGCGGAGGTGCTCCCAGCCGGACGAGAGATTTGACAGGGTGACCGGCTATAAGAGAGCTATGTTAATTCCTCAAAGCCCACCATCACATGGCATTCCACGGTCCGCACCATCTCGCCTATCACCGCCCCGCAGCGGTTGCACCGAGACCAAGGAGTCGCCTGAACGTAAAATCATGTCAGTACTTTCCTTTCTACCTTTGCAAACGTGCGTACACCATCGAATTCCGCCTCCATAGCAATTTCCTCTTTGGTTTTCGTGATGTTCTCTTTATCCAGGAAATCCTGTAAAATATTTAAAATCTAATGGACCTGCATACCTGAATCTTACTCTCCCGATTCGTGTAGACGTCGAGAAATGTCAAGCTCTCAATGTTGCCTGAAGTCGCTATCTCGCTCATGCCCGGAGTACGCGCACATCTTAATAAAAATACGTAGTTTTTAAAAGTGCTACTTGTAGAAGCCAATGTCCGTCCTCGACGCGTTGTCGATCCGCAATTCGTAGCCGTCTCCCTGATGGTATTTGGCACGCGACGCAAGCCCAAATGCCCTGGAATCAAATTGTGGGAATTTTTCCATCCTCACTTTTTGAAAAATTTGTTATTCAGCAGCTCGCTGATGCCCTTCATTTTGAAGTTCTGTGTGATTTCGGTCCACCTGTAAAACAAGTTTTTAGCAAACGCGTCAACCTTACATGTGATCGCCGTTCGCCAGAAAGAACCAATCGTTTTTCCATTGATTCAGATTGGTATTGGCACCAAGAACGAACTGAAAAAAAGAGTCAAAATACATGTAATGCTCACCGTTCTTATATGCGTCAAAAAGTTGTGGAAGATCTTCTCGCCATGGCTTTTGCCGGGCTGAAACACAGTTTGGATGAATAAAACGGCAGTTACCTTGAAGACTTGTCGAATGAAGAGTTCGTCTTCGGGGTAGAGGCTGCAAAAAAAAGTCATATTGACAACGAAAAATATCCTACCATCGATAGCAGTTCAATAGGGCTGCGGCACCTTGTCGAACCAATAACACCTCAGCCGTCACCTGGAAAATAAGTTTATATCTCGAAAAATTCATAGACTACCCATTTTTTAAAGGAACCAGTAATATCACATCAACAAGATTACACCGTATGAGAAAGGGTGTTATATTGAAGGCACGACGCATTTTCAATCACTACAACTTTGCTCAAAGTAAGGATGTGCTAAACAAGTCGCTGCATCCGGTCGCTTCGCTGGGTTGCAGACCAGCAGCTTTTCCAGCAAGTCCTCGGCTTCGGGCGAAAAGTTGCAAACAACATCGGCCCATGTCTGTGCAGGCTCGTCGCTGAGTTCAACTTCATAATATCCTGCCAATCGTTCCGCCGCCGGCCAGCTTTCAACTGAGGGCTCGCCGAGCAAGTCGAAGATCAGTTTCAGCTCGTCTTCTTCGTCGTCCCCATCAAAAAGTACGTCACCGCCGGAGAGAATTTCCGCAAAAATGCACCCAGCCGACCAGATGTCAATTGCTGGTCCGTAGAGATGGGCACCCCATAACAATTCTGGGGATCTGTACCACAATGTCACGACTTGATGGCTGTAGCCCCGGATCGGCAATTTGAACGCGGTTGCAAGCCCGAAATCGGCAAGCTTTAGCACGCCGTTGACGTCGAGGAGGATATTGCGAGGGGTGAGATCGCGGTGGATGACGTCGTTGGAATGGCAATAGGCTAGGCCGAGAAACATTTGTTTCGTTAGGCTTCTCGCCTTTTCTTCAGCGATCGGCTGCTCGCCAAGGGAATCGAAATATTGCCTCAGGTCCTGCACGCAAAATTCGAAGACGAGCACAAAACGCTCCTTCGTGCGGACCACCTCGTGCAATTTGACGACATTTTCGTGGTTCAGCTCGCGAAGTAGGGATATTTCTCGGAGCGCTGAACTTGGTACGCCTTGATCCTCTTCGTTTGGGCGGATCTCCTTGAGAGCGACGAGGGCTTTGGTAGTTTTGTTGCGGGCTTTATAAACTATTCCGTAGGCCCCTTCGCCAATCTTGTCCAAATTCTCGTATCGTTCCAGTGAAATTGAGGCAAGAGAACCGACACGAGTCTCATCTTTTCGGGCAGCTACACACTTCTCGTAGTCGTCGAAATCCTTGGCCATCTGCCAGTTCACCGGACTCTGCAAAAAAAAAATTAAAATGGAGCCCAGAGATAAATAAATAACGAAGAGAGCGCTAGAAAGTGCTTCACATTTGAGGATATCCGATATTCAAAAGTTATGCATACCGATCTCTCGAGCTCAGCGCTAACAAGCGCGTATAATAGTAGTGTGCGGAAGAACAACATTCGCAAACATGTATGTTTTGAGAATAAGGGTTCATTTTGACGCGTTTATTCAGGAAAAGGCATCCAAATCACAGAAATTGGCAATTTTGGCAATGCAACGCTTTTGGGTTAGTGTTGTTCCGCTACGTCCTGGAATTCATCGGCCTCATCATCGGCTTTTGGAATCTCGTTCTGAAAGTTGAAATGGTTAGGCTTAATATTTAAAATTAAACTTAATAATTAAGGTTAAGGGTTGCTTACCTCCTTTTCCTCTTCTGCCGCGTCATTTTTCGGCTTGGCAAAGTTGATGGGAGGTTCCCGCTGCCATGAGGGGACCGAACTCGCTGAAAAACTTTTCGTATTTCCTTTCCGCTTATGCGCAAGGGGTTCGGAGGGTTACTCACTGGTGGTCATGGCAGGGACCCGCACGGGTGCGAACTGGTTGTGGCTGAGGAGCAGACTCCGGATTGTGCTAAAGAAGTTGATTTCCACTGTTTTGAAGCGCTACCTGATGCCATTTTCGACCCTTTCCATTTCATTCTGCCGGACGCCTACCATCAGCAAAGCCTTGGAGACCTCGTCCTGGTGCATCGCGAGTCTAAAATCGTTTGATCAGCACTTTTATTCTCTGATTATCGTGTTTTATACTTACGTCTGTGTCTGCTGCGACACACTATCGATGACAAATTTCATCGAATTTTGCAGCTCGTTGATTTGCTGTTGGAGCTGGCGCACCTGCAAGAACCTTAGTAAATCACCAGCCGATTACAGCCGCTTCGCGACTTAATCGGCTGCCTCGGCTTCCCTCCATGTTCTACGCCACCACATTACATCTCTACTTCACCATACCCACCCAATCGCTTCGACACCCCTATAGCCACCCTTGCACAAATGCTACTCCTTGAAAAACTACTTAAAACCATTAAATACCTCCTGTGGCTTCAGATACCCCCATAGCCGAAATCCCCTTCAAAAACTATTTAGATACCTCCCTGATGGCTTCAGATACCCCCCATAGCCGAAATTCCCTTCAAAAACTACTTAGATACCTCCCTGATGGCTTCAGATACCCCCCATAGCCGAAATCCCCTTCAAAAACTACTTAGATACCTCCCTGAAGGCTCAGATACCCCCATAGCCGAAATCCCCTTCAAAACTACTTAGATACCTCCTGAAGGCTTCAGATACCCCCATAGCCGAAATTCCCTTCAAAACTACTTGATACCTCCCTGAGGCTTCAGATACCCCCATAGCCGAAATCCCTTCAAAAAACTACTTAGATACCTTCCTGAAGGCTTCAGATACCCCCATAGCCGAAATTCCCTTCAAAACTACTTAGATACCTCCTGAGGCTTCAGATACCCCCATAGCCAAATCCCATTCAAAACTACTTAGATACCTCCCTGAAGGCTTCAGATACCCCCCATAGCCGAAATCCCATTCAAAAACTACTTAGATACCTCCCTGAAGGCTTCAGATACCCCCATAGCCGAAATTCCCTTCAAAAACTACTTAGATACCTCCCTGAAGGCTTCAGATACCCCCCATAGCCGAAATCCCCTTCAAAAACTACTTTGATACCTCCCTGATGGCTTTCGATACCTACCCTAGGCGAAATCCCCATAAAAAAACGAAAATAACGACCGACCGGATGGAATGAGAGAAAAAGAAATGAAATCCTCCGTGAAAATTTTCATCCACGAAACGCGCGCGACCTGGCTCACTATGCGAAAATCATGCCAACCTCCGTCCCCCACCCCTTTTACTAGGAAAACTTTCAAGTTAATTTTAATAATTTAAATTAAACTTTTTCATGTTTTTTCAGTTTGGGGGTTTCTGGCCCGCTCTATCCGAATCCGAAGAGGCTAGCTCAGCTCCTTTCCCCTTCGGTTGAATCCGGGACCACGACTGCGGACCGGCCGCTCTTTTATTTGTTGTGGCGGCAAACCTCTTCCGTTGCCGGATCGGGGATGTTAAACCGGGGCAGGACATAGGTACGTAATAAATGGTAGCCAGCATATGCTGCCGTGGACAGTATCGCAGCCGATTCCACAAATTGCCGCACTCTAAAAAATTTTTAGCTTTCGCTGCAATTCTCAACTCGAAAATAAAAGCAAACTAACTTGTTAGGTTGGTACGGAGGTGGATACTGTTGCATTGCAATATTTTGAGCGGGAAGGACCGGGAGTCTTTGCTTTGCTTCTTCTAAAAGGGCATAACTCCATGATTAAAGAATTCCAAACTAACCGATTTCCTGCTCGGTGACGCCCTTGCCGAGTAGGAAGCCTCTCTGCTCTTCCCAAGGGCTATCGCGAACTTTTGGGGTGCTCAAAAATTTGTATGCGGCCTCGACCATTTCTGGGCGGTTGCTGCTGGAGCCGGCATCCATTTTCAGGTGGATGTAGGATCTAGATAGTTACGATTAGAGAATAGCAGTTCAGCAAAAGTTGTCATGTGGGGAGACCTCTGACTAGACTACAAAACGCGACTGGATTGATAAGGGGTGCGGGCGCGGAACGGGATCGTGCATGATGGAAACTGCAGATTTGTCATAATATCCCCCTCCCACAACAACGAAAAATAGTTGGGGCCGAATTTATTCCTGCAATTAGATACATATTCAAAAATCCGACAAACTCCAAGGTATCTTATCACTAGAAAAAGTTAAGGGCAAAGGCACAGCGTATCAATCTGGGGCGGGGAGGCAGATTATCACATTGATGAAAAGTCACAGAGGTCATCGTTTAGCAGCATACATGCTTAATTGCACTAATGTACAAGCAGACAGGTGGGATCACTTGAGCCTATTACAGAATCCGGGAGAGGGGAATTTTTAGTTTCCTATTTGACCAGAATCCCACGCAGCGTGTCGAGCGACTCCGTCAAGGCATCGGCGAAGGTTTGGGCCTTTTTCTGGGTCTAAACGAGGCTGAGGTTCAAAAGTTGGTTTGGCTTACCTTCACGCTGGAGATCACGGCTCCAAGTTTGCTTGGCACTACATTGTAGCCGACACCGAATCCGTCATTGACAACCTATCAAAAAAGTAGATCACTATCTGGGTTCGAATGACTCACAGGCCCGAAGCCGCCAAAAACAATCGTTTCCGTGGAGAGCGTTGAGGTCGACAAGACGAAATGGCCCATTCTACGACATAATTTAGGGTACTCTAGTAGCCATACCTGTTATAAGAAGCATCTTGGAAAACTACCGGAAGCGGCTTGCCCAACCGTTCGGCCGTAATCCGAAGGCCGAGTAGATGGCGGTCGAATCCTTGGCCTAAAAAAATAAAGTGTTATATATAACATCCGAAAAAACGTACCCATGCTAGCCTCCTTGACGAGTTGCGAATGCTGATCAGAGCACTTTTTCAGCAACTCTTGAATATTTTCCTGACGACCGGATGTTAGGGCCAGAACGGTTTCTTTGGTTGCCGCAGTGGCGGATCTATAAAAACAATAGGAATCGCCGTACCCTCAAAAACCTCATGCATTCTGTTCGCCCCTTCAAGAAGGCCGAAGTGCTGCAAGACTCGTAGGTGGGCACAAACTCTTTGTACGCATTGTAATACGCCAACTAAACAGGTCTCTCACAACTTATTTTTTCAGTTTACCTGAATCGCGAGCTGCATCACCGAGTCGGGACTTAACTTGGTCTTTTTGATGTGGTCTCGGTTCATCTTCGTGTATTCAACGGTAGCAAAGTCAAGGTCCTATACCGGAATATGAAAATCCACGTCGAACGCATACCTTGCAACTTTCCACATGGGTCTTCTGGGCGTCTGAGATTTTATGGCGGACCGAATCGTTGAGTTTAAACTCTAGACAAGACTTTTTCTATAAATTAAATAGAGTTACTCAATTCCTGGAAGTCAGTAGTTGCGCTAGAAGCCGCGCCGGGAGCTACAAAATGATGGGCATTCGTATCCCTAAGAAACCATAAAAATAGATGGATTTGATTTATACTTGAAGCTCTCCTCCATCAGTCGCAACACGGCCACGCCGTCACCCCACGAGTGCTCAAAGTTGATCGTCGATTGGCCATTGCCTAAGGAAAGTCCATAAAACAGCACGAATGCTATACCGTCAACGATCAGCTGGAAACATTTGTCGAACCAGCGATTTGAGCCATCATCACCGATCAGAAGCGATTGGACCAACCTAGAAAATGTATTTTAGATACGTAGGATAAATCTACGTACCTTTTATGATCGGTAGTCTTCAAATCATCGAGACAAAGAGCAAACATGGCACCGTCGATTTGCCGCAGTTGTTCTCCATTCCCGAGATCTTCAAGCTCCCGTCGTGCATCAGCCCACTACACCTCATAATTCAAGAAAAAAAATAACATACCACATCCCGATTAGCAGCAGTCAACGATCCAAGGCGCTCGTTCTCGGCGGCCGGCTTTTCGCGTAAGATAGCTTGGATAGCGGCGTGGACTTCACTAGCTGGTAGAATATTTCCTAAAGGCGACGGTCGGACCTAATTTCAGCCGCTAACCTTTATCATCGAAAATACGGACAGCAAAAATTCGGCCACCATGAAGGACGACAAAGTGCTTCTGTTCCCGGTCAAGATACAGCACATCCTAAGAAAGTTGATTTCATATTTATTTAATTACCTTTTCTTTCTTGGGGACACGAGATCCGTTGAAGAGCGATTTGTATTGGCTCATGTCCAACGGGAAGGCCTTGAAAGCGACGGCCCCAAACCAGGAAAGTGAAGGGGGAAGCATCCTGAAAAGTTCCATTAAAGCTAGATGGTTTTGGCTTTCCAGACCAAGGAGTGTAAAAAAATTATATACCTGCAAACCCGCCGGAAAGTCTTCGTGTCGCTCTTTTTAGGGTTCATGTGGAAGACTTCTGGTGCGAGTACCTAAAAAAACAAGGGTTACGTAAAAATATTAAAGTATGCCTCAGCATCCAATGATTTCTTAATGCGAGCGTAAGAAATGGCAAAGTTGGTCGCCCTCGTCGCCTGCTCCATGAATTTCTCGTTCGGGTCGGCCGCATACATCATGAACGGATTGTAGTTGACCGGGCAAGGAACACGTGCCCTAGAAAGATAAATGAAAACATGGTAAAACGAATAGATGATACCTGAGGTAGATATCGAACCACGGCTCGCTGATATAGCTCGTATCCTTGTGGTTTTTGTCGTACTTCAACAATTCCTCTTGGAGCTCTAGCAATGGTTGTGAGGAAGCAATGATAAAAATACCTTTCCCTTCGCCATTCTCGAATTCGCGCATGAGCTTCTCCGTTCTTGCATAGTCAGCCTCGCTGAGGACAACCTAGAAACAAGCCTGTGAGCGACCGCTCTGAAAGATCACCTTAGCCGAAGCCAGATACCGATTAGCGGTATCAGAGAGCTTCGGGATCGGAAGTCGCCGCAATGACTTCTGGAAGTGGTACGACGGTAACTCCGATTTGTGCAGGAATTGATATTCAGCATCGGTGAGTTGGGATGCCCTGAAGTTTCAAGTCATAGTCTTCCATTATTGCTTTATGAATTACTTTAATTGAACTCACATCCTCAACGATCCATGAAGCCGACCGGGGAGACCGTTTGACCGTGCCAGCATTTCCTAGAAGACCGAATTTAGGCTATACAACTTGTGAATATACTGACTCTAACAAGAGTTAAAATTTCTAGCGATGCGCCCTCTTTTGCCGTTCCCCTATCCGTGTCATCGGTCAAATCGCCGGGGGCACGTAGCTTGTAGTCATGGACTTTGCCCCCCCTTTTCTTTCCAAAACTGTACCCCGAAACAATCTGTGGAGGAAAGCCTGAAAATGACATGTGCACCAACAAAAAGCAATACTTTATCCCAATCCATAAAATGACATTTTAAACACACAATCAGCCGGTACGCGAAAAAGTTACCATCGACGCATAAATGAGCAAACAAATAGTAAATATGCACTAGATACAACACCGTAGAAATGACAACGTGACAATTTTCGCAATTTTTACAAGATCAACGATTCAATAGCATCGTTCGTGGCTTCATCGAGCAGTTTTTTGCTGACGACGACGGCCCGGTCCTAAAGGTGTATATTAAGGACTCGGCTAAAAAGTCACCTTCTTGAAACTCGCACAGAACGATTCCAACCGCTGCTCATCTTCAACGAGCACTTGTCGTAAAATGATGTGCGCTTTCTTCTCCTAAAAAGCTGTGTCTAGGCAGACAAAAATGCCTACCTCCTCTTTCATGTCCGGAGCGCAAGCCATTTTGCTAGCCACCGATCCGTTGTCAAAGCGACGTGTCACGAATTCAACACCTGAAGCTGCGATAAAAATAATAGAAGCTTTGCAACCTGGGTCCAAAGGTGCAAAAGCGATGAGTGTATTCTGAATCCGCTGAGCCAGGGAATCGCTTGACCAGTCTTGACTCAGTTCACGCAATCTTTCCGCTTCTGCAGAAGCAGCCTCCATGAATAGTTGACTGAAACAATGGGGGTAGAACATCCAAAAAAAGTTAGACAGTACCTCATTTGTAGCGTCTGCTCCAAAATATCCGCGTCAACGTTTGAGCGTACCCAGTCAGTTTCGTTTGTCCGCTTCAAGTCATCAAGGCGGATGCGCTTGAGCACCTCCTCGCGTACAGCAGATAAAGGTACGTTTTTAGCGATTTGCTGAAGCAGCCTATTAGCGTCACTCTCAAGAACAAACCTGTGAAATGTACTCGATGAGCTCGATCGCCCCCTCGGCTGTCCGAATTGGGGGAATTGGAGCAAATTTCGGTTCACGGGAAGACGCTGTCGATGGAGGGGAAGGAAATGCTGGAAAATAGTTTTTCCAGAAGTGATACTTTTAGAAACCTGATTTTCTAGGCGTATCAAAAAGCGATCCGTGGGCCAGTCGCAGATCTGTCAAGGGTGGTTCTTCGTCACCATCTTGTACCGTTTCCATAGGTACATGGCGGAGCTGGTCCCGAGACCTATAAATGGTAGATTCCCATTATTTTTTTTTTTTTTTTTTTTTTTTTTTTTTTTTTTTTTCCTTTTTCTTTTTTTTTTCCCCTCCTCCTTCCCCCACCCCCCCTAATTCGAAGTTTTCTCCCCCCCCCCCTTTTTTTTTTTTCTTTTCTTTTTCCCTTTTTTTTTCCCCTTCCCCTTTTTTTTTTTATATTATATTTTTTCTTTTTTTATTTTTTTTTTTTATCAAATTTTTTTTTCCCCCCCCCCCCTCCCCGGCCCCCCGTTGCTTTTTTTTTTTTTTTTTACTCCCCCCTACCCCTCCCCCCTATTTTTTTTTTTTTTTTTGGTTTGCTCCCCCCCCCTTTTTCAAATTACCCCCCCCCCCCCCCCATCCCCCCCCCAAGGCCCGGGGTAAAAAGCCCCGCCCCCGGTTTTTAACCCTGGTGATCGTTAATAAAATTGGGTATTGGCGAGATCAAGATCCCTCCTGTCTCCAAACCTACTTCATAAAGGATTTGATGCCGAGCAAATCATCAAGACTCTCCTCCAATATGGATTTATTGCCGCTCTCCGATAGCGCTGCTTTCAGCTCTCCCTCTATCAGAGACGTCGAGATCTGATCCGCAAAACGCGAGCGCTAAAGGTATCAAAGTTACGATGTTTGATTGATTTCGACTTACCGGACTCATCGATGGTGGTGTGTAGGTGGCAAGACGCATCCGTGGTGAAATGAGACTAGCGTCGTAGGAACTGAAAATCGAAGTCAAAAGTAATTAGTCTTTTATCTACCGGGGAGAATGCTCGCGGCGCGGTGACTGCTTTTCGCTGAAGGAGCTGATGAAGTCCTCGATCATATCGCGCCGAGAGACATTGAAGCGGCGCTCCTCAGCGGCCTCCTAAACAAGGTTTTCACAACCGTTGGAATGCTAACCTTCTGTTTTTGAAGATCCCCTGGAACAGGGCGTGGTGCCGGAGGGAAGATCAAGAAAGAATCTTCGGGTTCATTTTCTTTCTCAGCCGATTGTCGGTCTTCAGGCAGCTCATCCAGGTCGATTTTGTTGAACACCGTCGTCTGCTCCGGGGTGGGTGGGCCGGACGTCTAAATCCAGATTCTTAATAATTTTTGCAAATGGACCTGGATCGATGCTTTCTCCAATCCGTCCTCAGGTTTTTCAGTGGAAGGTGACGGCTCAAGAGCGGCAGTGAAGGATGGCTCTTCGACCTAAGCGAACTTTAGGAGTAGAGGCAAATGCTTACCAGAGTATGCTTAACCGGGCTTTCCGTTTCAATTTCCTCAACGATCTCCACCTCAATCGATGCGCTTTCGAAAGGCTCGGCTTCTAATACTACAGACGCATCCGAGCTTTGAGATGTAACCTTCGGCGTTAGGGCTTCGGATCGGGCAGAAGCAACCCCCTCCTCTTCCGTGTGACCTTCCAAGTTTCCACTGTGAACAGACGACAACGACTAAAGCGGAATTCTTTTTTAAAAACGACAAAATTAAACTACCGGAACAACTTCTGCGAAAGATCGGTCGCTAAGACTAAACTTCTGCATATTTTCGGTCAGATCATCGATCCCATCCGTATGTGCTTCCGAATTGCTTTGTGAAGCCGCGCCCGAATGGCCTAAAAAAGGACAATAGATGATTTGTAAAAGCTTACCAAAAGTCGCTGGTAAACCCTGCTCAACGTCTTCAGCAGGCTTCAATTCTACCGGCTCGTGAAAATCTAGTGAGCATTGGTGACCGGAATCTTAAAGAGATAGGGGCGGCATAAGTCAATCGATTACGCGAGGGAGTGTTCTGCGCCTTCCTGGGCCCTTGCGGGTGCCGGGGTCGTTGCCCTCGCCAGGGGGTCGTGCGTCCTCTCTCTTAGTCTACCTTTAGCAGTGGCCAACTCTGTTGTCGATACGCTATGAAGCTCCGATGAAGGCGGCTGGGAGTCTGGGTCGCTATACCGTTCAGAAACCTGTTGAGCCTAGTTATTGAAGGTTAGAAGGAGTAACAACAACATGTACCTCTTCATCCGTACTGGCCGTTTCCCAAGGTACCGTAATGTTCTTGAAAATTTGATGCTGACTCATGCTCGGTTTCGCCGACTCTTCGTTCAAAAAACTGAAATCCAGCTTAGGCACTGGATCTGGACGGAAACCTAAAAACAAAGATGAAAACAGAAGATCGTCATACTGCTGTGGTGCCTGCTGCTAGTTGGTGTAGAACTGAGCTGTGCATTAGAGACCGCCACCGGAGTGGAGCGTTTAGGGGAAAATGGAGAAAAACCGTCATTTTCATCGTGGGTCGATCGCTAAAAGTCCGGATTCAATGAAAGATCAACTCTGAATACCTTCGTAGAAATGGTAGGTGTTTGCGCTTGAATTGATTTCTCTGCCAACACGATTGGCTTCAACGGAGTGCTATCTAAAGGAATCGAGGATTGCTCAAAGTTCAAAAACTCCTACTCTTGGCCAGCATTTCTAGTAGAGGCTTTGACCCGCTGATATAGGCCTCGTGGGCGTCGATCTGTTTTTGCAGCGAAACAAGGGTCCTGAAAGAAACGTATTTTGGGGCAAAGAGAGCAGACTTTTGTGAGATATCGTCATTGATAGTAGCCGCTATTTTGCGCTTTTCATCGAGTTCTTGCCGAAGTGAGTCTAAAGTCTCAGTAATTTTTTTTATTTTGTAAAAATAATCACCTTGTAGCGAATTGGGGCGGCCCTTGACTGGGCCACGATGCGGGCTCACAAAAGACTGATTGCCGACCCGTTCGATAAAAGACCGGGCATCGTCCTTGATGTCTTCTAAACACCCAAACATAAACCTTCGAATAAGCCACTAACCATAGAAGGATCTGTTGCTCATCTCATCCCACTGATAGGACCGGTCAGGTATTCGGGGCTTCTTGATGACATCGCCAATGATGGCTTTCAGCATAGCAGCAGTAGGTGAAATGTCTTCATGTGTTTTGTTAAAGCTTGTGTTCTTCCAAGGCAAGTGTCTGGAAAAAATTTGCCTCGAAAAGCAATTTCTTACTTTGACAGCTCCTCAGGCAGTTGGAAGGCCTCCATGCGTATCACGGCTAAATCTCGGCGAATATTGGCCAATCCAGCTTCATATTCACTCTAAAGTCGAGAATTTACACCAACGAAACCCATTTACCGGGGAAATTTTTCTCAGCTTCTCTCGTTGGACGAGCTTCAAGCAGTCCTCGGCCAGCACCTCGACCCTCTTGCGTAAATTTACTACGTTCTTCATCACCATTTTCCACACGGCATCGGAACGCCCCTTCTTTTTGCTAAAATTTGTGATAAAGCGAGCGGGAAGACGTACAGCTTTGATTCCTGGACAGCCTGTGCAATAATTTCGCGATTGAGGAGTCGAATAAACGCGTCATTCGTCTTCTTCAATTCTTCCTCAAGGATTTTGGTCATACGTCGCCGGAATTCACGATCATCGCTTTGTTTTTGGAGACGCTCTAAACCCAAAATAATGTAGCCAAATTAGCGATACTATTTCGTTCTTTCTCTATTCTCGACAAGCCACCAGCTAAGCTCTCTAAGTTCTTCTCCATAGCGCCAAGCGAAGCCGAAGCATCGAGTTGCTTGTTGACGCCCAGTAGCATATCAGACTAAAGCGGAAATTTGTAGAAAATCAAGGAGTTTACCGTGGAAGTTTGTTGTTCAGTCTTTTCCACGATGCTGCGATCCATTTCCGAATGGAAACTCGTCGAGTAGACCGTCTGCAAAAATATAATGATTGACTAGTGGTCAAAAATACCTTGTCGAATTTGCTGCGAAAGCTGGACTCCAATTCGAATTTGATGGAAGCAGGTAATGATTGCCTGAAAGAAGAGAATAATTCAGGGATTCTTCGTTGTACCTGTTTTCAGAATCAAAGGGAATCGTGGAAAAGCCTTTTTCCGGCGACTTCCACATGGCCTCCGCAGGGCTCCTAAAGTTTTTAGGTGTACATAGTATTGTAACGCACCACTGGGAAGGTTGCAGATTTTTGACTTCTCCCGTGCTTTGATTGAAACGCTCCAAAAGTTTTTCGGTACTTTTGTTTAGGCTGAAATCGAGTAGTTGGAATTTCGAGCTGGAGAACGCCTACCGATCGAAGATGGATGTCAGGTCGCCTTCTTTCTCTTCAAGCGACATATTTAGCGTTGCGTCGGCCGTTCGATTGAAGCATGACGGAGTGGCGACGGTTGTTTTGAAGGAATCGTCTCTAGAAAGTGGGTTTCTCGCTTTCCAAGTAGGTCACAACAACTTTACAACTTTTCAAAACTTACAATGGAATGCGTGCCATTGGCGTGTAGAAATTGCTGTAATCGAAAGGTTCCGATTCGGGCGTCTTATTGAGATCGGGCTTTTCAGGCTGAAGCATTATGCACTCGTTGAACACGAAAATTACCGAATGAGACGCCATGGAGGAGGCCGATTGGTGCTCAGTTGGCTGGTCCCTTTCAAAGGCCAAATCAGCTCCGTTCAAGAAGTCAATCGACCAATCGTCTTTCCGCTGTTTCTTCAGCTGCGACTTTGGCTAAAGCTCCGTAAGTTTTCTTGGCTATTAGGCTCACCGTCAATACTCCTGTAGGGCGGCTGGGCGAAGCCTCATATTTTAGTTCAAAAAATCGACTGGCTGTCACCGATTTTTGCGGTGATGGTTTGGGCAGTTTTGCAGGTGGTTTTGCTATTTGGCGAACGTTTTTAGTTACGGATCCTCGATGCTTCACGGGAGATTCGCTGAGTGAGCGAGGCCGAACTGAAATCGGGTAATGTTTTCAACGATATTTTTTACCTTCGCCTAGGGTTCTGCGAGTCCTCAAGTGCTGTGGAAGCAAATAGCTGCTGTTTAAAGCGGTGTTGTCACCATTTTTCCAGGGTCGCCTCTCGTTCGAGCTGCTCGGTCGCTGAAAGCATCATGATTGTTGGGTGCTATCGATATTGGCCCACCATGTTCTCATCGCTCTTCCAACGATTTCTCAAATCGTGAGAAACCTCTCGTGATATTTCGCGGCAAACTTGTTGTGCCATATGGCCAATATCCATATTTGCACTGAAATGGTGGTCTGTTACACGTGAAATATCTGAGATTCAAGCTAAGATTGGGGGCAAACCACTAAGCGAATGCGAGAAAAAATTGTATCTTTGAACGGAATTGGAATTTTTGGCTTCTTAAAGACATTAAACCCTCTAAAGCATTGCCATAGTTACCGAGAGCTTAAAGTAAGATTCAAATGACCCGCACTTCACAGGCCGGTGCGATGGTAGTGGGGTCGCCCCATAGCCCCCGCTAACCGATTAGGCCATGTTTCGAAACATATGCACTTTTGTTCTCCTTTTACGAATGGCTGGATAGAGCTGTCTTTTATTCTCCATTCCCTAGCATAATGGATGAAGACAAGCACGAAAATGGTGGCGAGCTAGACGGGGACGACGCCACGGAGGACGAGCTGGAAGATGGGGAGCTCGATGAGGAGGAAGAGGAAGGAGAGGACGTGCTTGAAGAAGCAGACGCTAGCCAGGAAGAGATTGAGGAGGTCAGAGGATGATAAATTTTTACTAAATAAAAATTAGATGGAAAAGGAGCTGGATGAGGCTGGAAAGAAGGAGCTCGACGTGAAAGGCATCAAGCAGAAAAGAAAGATCAAGGAGAAGTACTTCGATGATGGCGATGATAAGGCTTTTGCGAGACGGCTTAAGTTTGTTCAAAGTTTGTACGTATAAGTGGAATTCAGGCGTCATCAAGCCGAGCTGGAGTTGGCGCGGATTGAGGGGGACGGTGAAGAAGAAGTCTTCAAGGACCTTGGGCATGATTTTCGGCTAAGCCGGACCGTTTGGGATACACTTTATCCGTAGGCTCTTTTTATAAGCAATAGTTTTCCGATTAGATTTCAAAAGATCGGCGTCCAGTGGCTGCTAAAATTGTACCGGGAGCGGGTGGGTGGAATTTTGGCCGATGAGATGGGCTTAGGGAAAACAATTCAGGTTTGGGTAATAGAATTTCGCAATGATGTTTTTAGACGTTGGCTTTTCTGAAAGCTCTTTACGACTCGAACAGAAATCGAATGGGGTATGTGTTGAAATTACATGAAAATAACTCGCAGTTCGCACGGGTTCGGCTCGACGTTGATCCTCTGCCCGGCATCGATCATCGTTCAATGGACCAAATATTGTCACAAATATCTCCCACTGGCGCGTACGATCGTGGGTCGAAAAGAATCTTATTTACCATTTTACACAGATCTTCCACAGCAGCGGTTCTTTCAAGGGAAAGCTGGCTTCGTTGGCGAAGCGTTTCGAGCCAAGAAGGTGTATAGACGCTTTTCACTAATGATTTTTTTTCATTTAGGGACGGCCTGTTTGTCATCGTGCCCTACACGACCTTCATGGCTTACAGTCCAATTTTGTCGAAAAAGGAGTGGCGATCATTGGTTTTGGACGAGGCTCACATCATCAAAAATCCCGAATTGAGGGTTTGAACTTTTAAAAGGCTTCAATAAATAATAATTTAGCTAACTAAAGCCCTGAAAGTTCTGGCTACGCCTCATCGCCTCTTGCTGACCGGCACGCCACTACAGAACAACTTGAAGGAACTATGGAGTCTCGTCGATTGCGCATATCCGGGTCGGCTCGGCTCAATGGATCCGTTTATGAAGGACATTGCTATTCCGATTACGCGTGGTGGTTTCGGTAAAAATTCTACGTTTTCGGAACGTAAATTTCAGCCAACGCTTCGCCTATGATGAAGGAGACCGCAGTGAGGTGTGCCCATATTTTGAGGTAGACTGGGATGATTTCTAAAAATTATTCTGTTTCAGAAATGCTATCGGTCCGTATTTACTACGCCGTACAAAGGCCGGCGTCGAACGCGAGCTGAACCTGCCGAACAAACAGGAACAGGTGTGCGATGTTTCAACACCTATTTATTTTTCTGCGATTTAGGTCCTGTTTTGTGAACTGACGACAGAGCAGCGGGCCCTATATGTGGAATTTTTGCACAGCCGCGCCTGCCAAAGGTATTGTAATTTGATGGGAAAATTGTCGCGCTTTGCAGGATGATTGAAGCCAAGAACACCTTTCTGCCCTTTGCCGGGATTACGATTCTTCGAAAGTTGTGCAACCATCCGCATCTTATTGGGAATGCGTTTGCCGGTGCGTTACAGTTTGAATTCGTTAAAATTTCGTTCATAGGCGCCAGAACCTTTGCGGAATCCACAGCCTCCAAGGCGTTTGGTCATCCCTCGTTGAGCGGAAAGTTGGAAGTGACGAGGCGACTGTTGGCACTGTGGAAAAAGCAGGGCAGCAATAAGGTACGCAGGATACGGTTGGAGAAAGTTTACTTTATTTGTCAGGTTCTCCTCTTCTCGCAAAGCAGGGTGATGCTCGACGTCATCGAGGCGATGCTCTTGCGTGATGGGTATTTTTGCGTTTGTCACGTATATTACCGCTTTTCTCTTTCAGGCACACCTACTTGAGAATGGATGGAAGTACGCCAATCTCGGCTCGCGATGGTATCGTATCAAAATATTCGCAGGTAAATTTTGGTTTTATTCTATTGGATGAAACCTTCAGGACGAATCGATTTTCGTCTTCGTCCTGACAACACGCGTCGGAGGTCTCGGCCTAAATCTCACATCGGCCAACAAGGCACGGCGAATTTTTAAACGCTAAAATTAATTAGGTGCTAATTTTCGACCCCTGCTGGAACCCTTCGACCGATTCCCAGGCCCGCGAAAGGGCCTGGAGAATTGGACAGCGCCGAGACGTTACGATTTATCGGCTCATTACGTATGGAACGATTGAGGAAAAGATTTATCACAGGTGCAGCGTTCCAAATGTCTTATTAGTTTTTTCAGGCAATTGTTCAAGGAATACTTAGCCCAACGGGTGCTCACAAAGAAAGCACAGCAAAGATTGTGAGTTTTTGAATTTTAAGCGGATATGCCCTTTTACAGGGAATTGAGCACCACTGATATTCGCGATCTGTTCACGCTATGTGACGACAAGGAAGAACGAACGGGCAGGGCTGAAAAGAAGAAGGCGAAGAGGGAAGAGAAGCTGGCTTTCAACCAACGATCCGACCGCTTCGACCAGTATATCCGAAAAAGATACCCTACCCTTTATTTAGACTCGTTTCGGCCGAAAGCGGCGCACGGAAGAAGGAACCGGCTGATGCAGATGTGCCCGAGGATGAGGAGGTTGTTTCAGGCTTTTTTGAAGATTATTTGCAATTTAGAGCCTCCCGACACTGACGGACGATCAACGAGCCGCCCTGGTTCATGAAGCGGCAACGAGGTATTTAACGAATTCGGACGAAGCGTTTTTGTGTGTCCCAGCTACTTTTTGAATTCCACTTTTAGTGATCCTACTATCGTGCCGGAAAAATGCGAACGATCGGCACGCCCTGCGGACTCAGCCGAGCTTTTTGATGGGAAATATCAGATTCCTTATTTGGTCAAGCATACGAAGGCCCGGCGCGATCGAAAGAGGGAGGAAGAAGAAAAGGCTGCGAAGGTGCGCCCTGAAAAATAGGGAAAAAGTGTGCTTTCAGACCGAAGACGGCGTGATGGCTTTCCTCTTGAAGCGAGGTGTACGAGAAGCGCTAAATCATGACGCTGTCCTCGGGTAGCATGGCTTTCTGAAAAAAATATTTCGTATTAACAGATACACGGAGCGAAAAAAGGTGGAAGAACACGAGAGGCGCGCACGCGGATTGATTGGCGAAAAAGAGTTTGTGTTATCTGGCTTTTGGGGTTATATAGCATTAGGAAAAAGGAAAAGGCAGCGGAAGAAGCGGCCGCAAAATTGAAAAAGAGGGAAGTGGACAAGCCACCTACCGCCGGGCAAAGCTTTCTGGCTGCCGCTGGTTCTCGTTTCTTGGCTCGACCGGGTGGATCACAGGTATTTGATGTTGAAGGTATGGTGAGAACTACGTATTTTAGAATGATCTCCTCTCCGCTGTGCGGAAGCGGAAGTCACAGGAGCAACGCGAGGTCGAGAAATGTCTACCGCCACGTTAATCTCATTGTACCGTACTACTACGGAACTTGTTCTTTAACTTTTAGGCTTTATCCATTAATAACTCCTACATTCCCATTAATAATTGAAATACCATTGGCATGATTGTTTCCATTTTTGCACTGCCGATTATTGTCGGGTTCTTTGAGCTTCACTTATTCGCACGGGTAATAAACTTCATATCAGCTCCCGAAACGGGGAAGTACGTTTTTCTTGGGGGTTGACAGTGCGCATGTTTACCCCCGTTCTCACCTCAAGCTGGCGAGTGATAGCGGCCATTTGGGGGTCTTTATCATAACCCCGAAAGGGTCAATTGCTTCTGCCCGATGCATTACTATCGAATTGGTTTGTTTTTAGAAGAGTGAAAACGGTTTTTTTTTCGGATTTTAGCAACGCGTCTCTTCTCAAGTCAACGGGCCCTGGGTTCGTTTAGAAATAAAGGCACTATTTTTGGTGTTTACTAGATGCTGGCCGCGTCGAATTCGTACAGGCCACCCCTGCAGACCTTCCCCAAATTGTGGATATGTGTGTGGAGGGGTTCTCGGCCATCGAGCCGCATCTCAAGGTCTGTATGGGAAATATTTCTGGGATTTCTGACCCTTTCTTTGAAAGTGAGCTCTCTGGGAGAGGATTGTTTTCATTTAGGCCGTCTTGGAAAATTTTTATTGTCTGTTTAGGCTATGGAATTTGGAAAAATGGCTAAATGAAACGAAATCAAAAAAGTTATGTCCATGGCGACATTTCTAGGCATGGAAAATCGGAAAAGAGGCTCGGCCCCTTTTTGAACTGATTGGAGCGAATGCCTTGAAGCATCGCTTCTCGTACAAATTGATCGAGCAGGATAGCCAAGAAGTTGAGAGTTTAAAGTGCCTGAGAAAAAAATGGTTTTAGCTAGTTGGATTTCGACTGTTCTCCCTTGGCCGGCGTGATGATCCGGAGCTGCAGCTCGACGGGATGAAACTGCACCCAGGGGTCCTGGGCCTCGGTAAGTAAATTACAGCTATACTCCCAATTAACCTCGTCATTTATTAGCCGGAATGCTCGACTATTTAAAGAAAGAATCCTTTGCACAGCTGCCGCACATCAACAAATTGATACGGTAATTTTTTCATAACACAAAGTTCAGGCGGTTTTTAGGCGTGAAATTACATTCGTCGTGCCGGAACTCCAGCGAAAGGGAATAGCCAATCGGCTGGCGCACCATGGGCTCGATTTTCCAAGTTTGAAGGTGATTTTGGTGGCTTCGCAGGATTTGATAAAATACAGATATGCAAAAGTAGCTAAAAAGCTACGGCTTTAGGCGGACGGAGTTCAAGGACTCATTTCCGAGGCCTCATCGCTGGCGAACCAAGAATTATTGAGAAAGAAGGGGTATCGTTTGATTGCGCAAGTGCCCCAAAGGTATTTTTTTACATTAATTTTAGCTGGATGTAAGACTGGGGGGTACATTTTTTCGAAGCTCATTCTAATGGCGTTGCAAAAATCCCGAAAAAATAGCGAGATTTCGAAAAATTTTGGCAGTTTCACTCAACTTCCTTGGAGTTCCGGACCTTTCTTACATTTATTCCTTTCCAGCTACTACGACCGGCACGGTATCAAACTGCACGATGGTACCACGACAATCAAGGCCTATTTTAAGGATATTGAAGACGTAATTGCAGATCTGGCGAAGAGTCAATAAAGCGTAGGAATTTTTTTAAGTCTATCGACCGATTTTACGCCGCTATTTCCATATTTCGTATTTTGCGGATATTTCACCTAACAGCTCCATTCTGGGGTTAGGTTCTCGAATAAATCTGTCACTAACGATCGCATTTATTACCAGCCATAGATTCAGCAAAAAAAGGACCAAACAGTTCAAAAGTTAAAAACCACAATGAAAATCCTGGACCGCGAAAACTAAAACCCCTTTTGGGCTCATTCTGGGGCTTAATGTTGGTAAACTTCACTTGCGAA